TTTCTGTTTTCTAATCTAGTGGTGTATGTTCTAATATTTAAGCTTTCATTTCTTTTATATATTTTGTGCTTAATTGGCTCCTCATTTTCTAGTTTCTTAAGGTTGAAATTGAGGTCATTTACTTCATACATTTCTTGTTTTCTAGTACAGGCATAAAAACTGTACATTTCCTCCTATTATTTGAGTTTCATCTTATAAATCTTGATATATATTAATTTTCATGTTTACTTAGATTTAAATGTTTATTTTTACTTATTATTTGAAAGGGAGTCAGAGACAGATAGGTGCCACCTACTGGTTCATTCCCCTAATGCCAAAGCCAGGAGTCAGGAACTCTATCCAGATGTCCCATGTGGTTGGCAGAAACTCAGTTACTTGAGCCATCAATGCTGCCTCATGGAATCAGTATAGGATGAGAGTCAAATATCTGCTCCCAAAATTGTTCCAATTTCTCCTTGCTGCTTCTTTGTTATAGATTATCTGAAGCGTGACATTGAGTTTCCAAATATTTGTGGATTTTCTGGCAATATATCTATGAATAATTTCTAGTTTAATTCCCTTGTGGTCAGAGAACACACTTCATTTGATTTACATCCTTTAAAATTTATTGAGATCAGTTTTAGGCCAGAATGTTTTTTCCTGGTAAATGTTCCAGGTAATCTTGAAAAGAATGTGTATTCCCCTATTGTCTGTTGGGATATTTGATAAATTTCAGTAAGTTCTGTTAGACTGGTTGTACTATTCAATTTTTTCATATTCTTAATAGTTTCCCTTGTACTTAAATATCTATTATTTGCATGGGAGTATTGGCATATCAGAATATAATTATGTCTTCTTTCCTTATTCACTTAGTTCCATGAAGCTTGTTACATGAATTTTGAAGTTCTGTTGTTTTCACCATTAATATCAGGAATTGTGATGGCCTCTCAATTAATTGAAAAACTTTATCATTATGAAATAACCTTTCTGCCTAAAGATATATATTTGGTGGATTGGTATTGTGGCACAACCATTTGTACACATGCACATATTCCATACAAGAGTGTAGGATGGAGTCTGCCAGCTACTCCACTCTCTATCCAGCTCTTTGCTCATGTGCCTGGGAAGCAGCAGATGATGCTGGAGTCCCTGCCACCCATGTGCGTGATCAGAATGGAGTTTCTGACTCCTGGCTTTGGTCTGGCTAACACTGGCTCTTGCATGAATTGGAGAGTGACTGGAGTTTGGAAGATCAATTTTTCTCCCTCTCTCTCTCTCTATCTCTTTTTATTTCTGTCATTATGTCTTTGAAATAAATACATAAATCATAATGTGTGTATATATATATCACATTCTACTTTATCTGATATTAATATAGTCATTTCAGTTTCATTTTGCTTAATATTCATATGTCTTTTGTTTTTAACTTAATCTCATTTGATTAAAGGGCATTGCCTATGGCCATTGATTTTTTTAGTCAAGTTACAGTCTTTTTAATTATAATTTTAGGCAATTTATAATTAATGTGAATTGTATATAGTTAACTTTATATTCTTGTTATTTGACTTCTATTTGTCTCACCTCATTGTTTTTCCTTTTTGCCTTATTGATTAATTGCATAATTTTAAGATTATATATTTTTCAACCATTGGTTTGCTAAATCTAAGACTTTTGTTGCTTTTTTGTTGTTTTTTACTGATTGTTTTAGGATTGTTAGTAGCCTTGATTTATTATAGACTACCTTCACACACAGTACTACTTCACACAAATATAACAACTTAGAATACTGTATTTACACTCCCACTCTCAAACTTCATTCCATTTTAAAATAGGATAGACCTCATCTACTAGCCCATGTCTTGGTATTTTTACATGTTCTTTATTCCTTTTCTTTCATTTCTTCTTCTGCTTGAAGGACATCTTTTACCACTTCTATAATATCAGTGTAGTAATGATACTTTCTGTCACCTTTATTATTTCTAGAATAGTACTTATTTTTCCTTAATTTTTCAAACCAAAATGTTCATCTTTCTTTACTGTTGAACAAAAATCTGCTGTCTTATTTGTATTTTTTCTTCCATTAACAGTATTTTTCCTTTTGACTACTTTTAGAATTTTTAATTTTTTTTCACTATGAGCAATCTGACTATAATACATTCTGATGATATTTTCTTTATTTCCTTATACCTGGGTTCTCTGAACTTCGAGTCTATACATTTAGTTTTAATTATATTGTGAAATTTTATTCCATTATTTCTTATTTATTTTGCCACTATACTTTTCTCTTTTATTGATTCCAATTACATGCATATTATGAAACATTAACATGGATCACTTTTTTATTTTTTAAATTATTTTCTGTTTTATTTTTGGATAGCATTTGTTACTGCACTTTCATCTTCACTCATTTTATGTTGTCCAGGTCTAATCTGCCATTACCTCATCCAGTGTTTTTTCATCTCAAATATTGTAGTGTTGATCTCTAGAATTTTGAGTTGAGTCATTTTTATACCTCTGACATTTTACCATCACTTGTTGTCTGATTTCCAATGTTTTGATAAACACATTTTTATGACTTCTCAATATTTGAAGGGTTAATCCAAGTGTTACTCTGTATCGACCAGATACAGAACTTATTTACAATGGAATTTAATTAAATGTTTACACTTCCATCTTATGCTTTAGGTCATTAATGTATTAAGAGGAGAATTGTCTTTTTCTCCATTTTGGTACTTTTGCCATTATCAAAACCTTAGCACTCAAACCTAAAGTAGATGACTGTATTTGCACAAAAAATAATGGAATTAATACATTAATTTACTCAGCTTACATTCATTACTATCGGGTGTAAATGAGTTCTTTACCCCAAGGTAGACTTCACTTTCCAAGACCTTAAGTATCACCTGAGCTTAAAATTCTGGCCATTTTTTTGTGACCCCAGACTCAAGTTTCAAACAAGAGGAAAGCTTTGGAATCTCATTAATGTTTTATTGAAATGGATATTTTATCTAATCTAGCTACAGGTATTTCAGTGGGAGTGTCAGTGCTTCAACTATATGCTTCAGTGAGATATAAGAAATGAAACTAATATCAGTTATTTCCTTATAATTTTTCTTGCCTTATAGAATAAGATTCTTACTTTCAACTACATAAATACTATTAATTCAGTATTGGAAACAGACAAAAAAGAATCTATAATTAGACAGTTATTTCAAAGGATTTTAAAATTTTGGCTAAGTTCTTTTTAAATTCCAAATGTAGAAAAGTCAAAGAAAAATATGTTACTTGACCTGTCTTTATAGTCAGAATTTTAAAATAGTAACTATAATTTTAAAACTGCTTTCAAACAACTGGAAAATAATTGGTTGACCTTAAGTTAAAATATTACAACTCTCTTAAGTTCTTTTAATTGGCATGATTCAATTTTAATTTTATAAACATGCTCTTAAATTTTTTGTTAAATTGTAATATCTTGGAGCTCATTGTACTATAGAAATATAATGTGTTAGAGTATATTTATAAAGCTTCCAATCAAACAATGCTGGGCATTTGGACAACTCCTACCTGGTAATTTTAAGGAGGGGATAAAAGCAGGTACATTTCACATTTTGAAGAAATGGTAGATATCCCTAAAGAGTGCTGTTTCCAAAGGAAGAGAAGTGTGACTTTTCTTCCTTAAAAAGTTTGAGAATTTGAGTGAAAGATGAAAAATGACTCTTTCTTTACACACTGAAACCACAGGCAATACAGAATAGTTTTGTCATCTCAGGAGCTTTAGAGTGAAAAATGAGAATCTGAAAGTAGATAATTCTATTCTGGTCATTCACTTAAAGAAACATAAGGAGGAAACATTTTTATTTTATTTTTAACTTAAATTTTAAATTTTGAAAATATATAGGTAAGTCAGTGTAATCAAAAGTGTTTGAGATGAGAAAATATAATTGGACATCTTTTATTATAATAACTTAAAAGTAAGAATGACTTCTTAAGAATATGAATCATCTTTGTACTTATATATTCTGGTACATCAATTTGGTGAGCTCCTGCCATCATCATTCTAGCATGTAATTTATTAATAGTAATATTAAGCAATATTCCCTTAATTTCCATATCTGTAGTTTCTCAGGACGGTGTGGTACCATGAATAAGCTAGGACAATGGTTGTTGTCATTTGTATTCACCACATGGGAAGCTGCTCCCAAAATAGAAGTGTCACCACATGTGATTTCATGTTCGAGAAGCAGTTAGGATTTCAAGAAATTCTTGCTCTATTGTAAACCAAGACTGTTGGTCTCCTACCAGCAACAGTGAAATTCACCTCAACCAAGTTTGCAGGGGACTCTTCCTAAAGGCTTGGAATGACCCAAAGGCATGTTAATAATTTTCCTGGAGAGCAACTGCATTGCAAAACACACTCTCCCAGTCAACCATGCAGACTGGTGGTATAGTTCCTATGCACAAGAACTCTAAGAACCAAAATTTCATCCCCTAGAGGATGTTGTCAGTTTTTGCTTTAAGTGCACCATACTGTTCCCTCCCATTTAAAGGCCCTGTTCCCAAACTGTGGGATAATAACATGTCATTCAGTAGAGAAGTGACATTCAGAGAGCAGCTCTCAAATGAGCAAGACCTTCCAGGCTATTGCATGAAGGGTAGTTTACAAATGTCAGAGATGATTATTCTCCAGGACATACAATAAAGGTAAATAGGTAGCATAAATCTTTTCTTTCTACGCTGAAGGTTTTATTATGTTTCCCCCTAGTTATGAAAATCCAATTTTCCTTGGAATTCCACTGGGAGCGTGCCTGGCACTAATTTTTGAGCTTGAGAATTATCAGGAAGCAAGATCATTGTATTGCTTTTGGTCTCAAATGCAAATCTAGTATGAATATGGAATAGGCATTCTGTACATTGAGAAACTATGTTTCTGTTCAACTTTAAGCAAATTTACAAGAAGACATATTTCCCCCCAAACATTAGGAAACAACTGAGCTAAGTTACAAAATACCTTCTCTTCCTAGGTTGCCAGAACAAGAAAAATTGCATTGCTTCCAGGCCCTGAGCCAACCTTATTCAGGACTCAGGATGGAGAAAAACCAAAGACCAGACTGGGTAAATTCTCAGTGTAAACTGCGATAGGAGGATGCTACAGGAAAGCCTGGAGAGAAGATGCACCCACCCTCCATCTCTGCATATTGTTACTCCATGCTTGGCAATGCACCCCAAGTTAATAATGCACTTTCAGGATTCCTTGAACTCAGCTATTTAGGTTATCTTTGTAAAGTCTATATAAATTTCTTAAATATTGCCAAACATAGTGGGTTTTTTTTTTCAAATAAAAAATTATAAATTAGACAATGGAGCCACTGGATGACTGAACTCACAAAGTTTGAAAATTAACAGATGGTTCCACAATAGCACTTTCTTCTTTTTTATATTTTGGCAAAGATACATTTCTCCTGTTGAAATCATCCAAAAAATCCAGTTTGCTAAAATGAATAAACCAGAGGGATTTAGGTGAAATGTTCAAGGAGCTTTGCCAGCTAGAGCTACCCTGCTGCCCTTAAAGTTTTCTCTTACCCTGAACAATTCCTATGACACCTCAGTACCTTGATGGCTTTTATCTAGCTTCATGTACAACCTTTGAAGATAAAATCACCTAATTCAGGCACAGACCCCTTAGACCCCATTGCTCATCACTAAGATAAGGTGTCCTTTGAAGTGAGATAAGTTAAAGTAGGCAATACTGGGATTTGAGAATAAGTATTATACAGAATCTTAAAAGGCCAAATGAAATAAACTCTGATTTTCTCAATGTTTGTCTAATAGTGATTAAGTGCAAACCTAAACTCCATTTGCATTCATGATGGACTAATTTTATCAGTTTTGAAGGCTGCCTGCATGTGGCTCTCCTTCTAAACTTCCAAAGAGATAAAATTGTATGTCAACAATATCAGGCATCACAATTAAAAGACCATTGTTTCTTCTTACACTTAAACTCTGTGCTGTGCTTCAACCTCGTTTGATGTTATGAGGCACTCTGAACACCTGCAATCTTCCAACAGTTTTCTATGCCAGGGGCATATGAACTCAAAGGTACCCCTGCTATAATTAGAGCAGGTCTCTGTTGGACCCAGGTCATGGACATTTGCTCATTCATTCATCAAGATGAACTAAACTGAAATTACCTTAGCTAGAACAATTCCAATCCACATTGTTCAGCTTCTCATTCCAACTAGTGCCCCTCAATAAATAAACAAGCTGCCCTCAGAGCAGAACGTTGCAACCTGTTTTCCACTGTCTACCCTTCCAGGAGCCACCAGAGGCACCATGCCCTCAGTAAGAAGAATCATTCTTACAATGTTAAATATAAGGTGGCCCTGGGTGCGTTAGTTATTAGGCTTAAGAAATAGCTGGTAGCTATATATCATTTCATGCCAGTTTTCTCCAAAGTAAGCCATTCAACATATCTAATAGAATATCCAGGGGGTAGAAGGAAAATAAATCTTTTCCAATAGTGTATACACCTTGCTATAAAAAGAATGAGTTTGAGTTTTCAAAGATGAAAAAGAAATGGCCATATTTTGTCAGCATGAAAGGGCTTAGTCATTTATTCAAAACTCAAAGTAGAGTATGTATGGCTTACAGATTCCACAAAGTTATTATGCTACTATTGTTAAATTTAATAGAGCTTTATACAATGTCTATATTCTGGTAATGTGTGATATTCTGCCCACATTTTTCACCTTCCTCCTCTCTAAACTTTTTTCTTCTTTCTATTGCTGTACCTCACTTAGGATGCCTGCCCTCTCCCCTGTTCACACTTCAAATATCTAAAAATCCTATCTATTCCAGAAAGACTGACCTAGCAACAATTATATGCCTTAACTGCCTTTAGTCTGCAAGTATTCATTGATAACTTCATGTGACTAGTTGTTGTCTAGGTAATGAGGGAATTAGTGTGGTGATTTCTCTGACTTCCTTTTATATTTAGCATAACCACATTTGCTAATTGCTTCTTATGTGTTAGTCTTTTTTTGGTCTTTTCTACAATGCTTGGCATAGGACTAGGCAGAATTAGTGCTCAGTACATATTTACCAATATCTACTGATATGTTTTCTCAGCATATGAACACATCCCACTTTTTCCGTAAAGGGACAGTACACTCTAATATCCATAATGTTTATAAACCTAGAGGGTTAATCTATGTGAGGGTAGTAGAATGGCTTAGCTTTCAAGAAACATCATAGTAATGACTTTACCATTTGAGCACAATCTTAGGCATCAGATCATAGAATCCACAATAAAATACTAGAAAGCTTATTGTGAATATCTCACAGCAGGACATGCATCTTTAGATATGTTGCTCAGAGCATAAACCACAGGAAACAAATCTCAAACCAGATGCTCTTTGTGATGGCCATCTCCATTATTACTGCCCTGCACAAAGCACATCCAACTAAAGGTAAATAATTTAGCACTGAGATCCCTCTTTATAGAAAAGGCAAGTGACAGATCAATCCCAGGCACCAATGGTGATGGAATGGGATCAAACAATAAACATCAAATTTTGCACTCAGGTTTATCTACACCGACATTTCTTGGTGTTCCTCTGCTGACAGTGGAGGAGGAAAGACATGCATTTTACTCGAAGTCAGGACATCTGAGCTTTTCTTGTGTGACCACCTCACACAAGCTGCCTGATTTTGTTCATTTCTCTTCCACTCTAAGAATTTGGTTCCCCTTAAAAACAGGTTCTGGGGTGCATATTTGGCGAAGTAGTTAACATGCACACATTTTATACCAGAGTGCCTAGGTTTGATTCCTGGCTCCATTTCCTATCTATCTTCCTGATAATATGGACCCTGGGAGGCAGCACATGATGAGAAAAGTAGCTATGTCCCTGCCATTTATGTGGGAGACAGATTGGCTTCTCCCTGGCCCAGTCTTGAGTATTGACAGCATTTCAGGTGTGAACCGGTATATAGGAGATCTCTCTATCTCTCTGTCTCTCTTTCATAAAATAAACTAATGAATTTTAAAAATAGATTCAGTGGGGGCCAGTGATGTGGCACAGCAGGTTAAGCTGCTGCCTTCAATGCCAGCATCCCATACATCTGCCGGTTCAAGTCCCAGTTGCTTTGCTTTTGATCGAGTTCTCTGCTGGTAGGTCAAGCAAAGCTGTAGAGGATGGCCTAAGTGCTTGGCTCCTCACCCACATAGGAGACCTGGATGAGGATCCTGGCTCCTGGCTTGTGCCTACCTCTTCTTCAGTCATTGCAGCCACTTGGGGAATGAACCAGCAGTTAGAAGATCTCTCTTTCTCCCTCTCCCTCGCCCTCTCTGTGCAACTCTGCCTTTCAAATAAATAAAAGAATATAAACAGATTCAGTAAGAATTTATTAACTTTGTAACTAATCAGGCAAGATCAATTATGATAACAAATGTAAAGCTTCTTTGTTGCCTCTGAAATGCCATATACAACAAAAAAATTGGGGTTCACACATTGCAGATGGGGCAGAATTATAATATGAAGTTAGTGGATAAATTCCATAATACTACAGATGCTACAAGTTTTGAGTATATTTTCCACTCTAACAAAATTTGAAATCTTATTCCTTCCTGAACAGCCCCAAAGGAAAAATGTCCATGTTTTTACGATGGCTAGAGGCATAGATCATGAGTGGAAGCACAGAAACTCTTGGAGATTTTAAATGTTGACATGTCTTTAAATGTGACTTGTGCATGAATTCATGTAGGGCTCTATGGGTAAGTAGGGCAGATATGTATAACAAACGGTGTTTATTTGATATATACAGGTACTGGACATTCTAAATGTAATGATGGCTAATGTATATTAGGCTCTAATCTGCTTAGGTACTGTTTTAAATATCACAGCAATCCTAACAGTGAGTAACTATTACTCCCCTGTTTATCCTGCAAGCACATTGAGTCACAGTGAAGGTGAGAAAATTGTCGAAAATCTCTTACTATGTCACAAAACCTAAGTTCCAAGCTTCTTACTTGGGTTTCACAAATTATGCTAAATGTTTTTCTGTTCTCAAGATACCAGTGATGCAGATCAGAAGCCAGGCTGGATGAGAAGTAGAAAAAATGCTCTGAGAAATAGTAGCTAGTATTTTCCCCTTCTCTTCTATTGTGTATTTATTTTTGAGCGGCAGGGGAGAGAGAAAGAGAGATTTATGAGATTGCTCCCATAAGCCAACCCACTGCATAAACGCTAACATTGGTCCCAAGGTAGGGTCATAGCTAGGGGATGAAAATTCAGTCCAGGTTTCTCACAAGGACGGCAGGGACCCAACTATTGGAGTCATCAGCAGAGCCTCCCAGTATCTACATCAGAATTCAGGACACGGGCATCTTCAAACCCAAGTCAAATGCCTGCTCCCCACCATCTCTTCCAAATCCCAAGTGCAGGTAGCCATAACCAAGAGACAGAATTCTCCTAAGAGGGAAAGCCTGTTGGTGACACTGTAAAAAGTGTTACAGGGACATTAAGCAGCACTAAATTCAGTAGGAGGGAGCAGAAGCTCTTGCCTACTGGTAAACTTGACTGGCTAAGGTAAAGGAGCTTAAAGAAAAAAAATCATCAAGATACACTCATTGCAATAGAATGCCGATATATAAAACAATACATACTCCATGATTCTGAGTAAATATTATACAAAGTTAAACATTTTAAAAACATATTATATATATGAAGAGAGTAGAATATGTAATTAATCAGCAAGAAGTAGTTATAAAAAGAAACAAATTTTATATTTACTTAAAATATAAATATATAAGAAGAGAAAATGGATAATTAAAAGAGTTGATAAGGTTAAAAGTAAATTACACAGCTCTAAGAACTTAGCATCAGAAAGTTATGAAATAATAGAAAATATCATGCTGAGTGAAATAAGCCAGTCCCAAAGAGACGAATACCATATGTTCTCCCTGATTGGTGACAACTAACCGAGCACCAAAAAGGAAACATGTTGAAGTGAAATGGACACTATGAGAAACAGTGACTTGATCAGCCCTTGTCCTGACTATTGGGGAACAACTTAATACTTCATCCCTTTTAGTATTTTTTTGTTGTTCTACTTAATACTATTGGTTGAACTCTTTAATTAACACACAATTATTCTTAGGTGTTTAAATTTAACTGAAAAGTGATCTCTGTTAAAAAGAAGAGTGGGAATAAGAAAGGGAGGAGATGCACAGTTTGGCACATGCTCAATCGGACTTGACCCAAATGGTAGAGTTAGAAACGTGCCAGGGGATTCCAATTCAATCCCATCAAGGTGGCATGTACCAATGCCATCTCACTAGTCCAAGTGATCAGTTTCAGTTCATAATTGATCATAATGATAGGATTAAGAGTCAAAGGGATCACATAAACAAGAGTAGTGTCTGCTAATACAAAATAAGGAAGACAACATGACCACCCCCCACCAAAAAAACACAACACTTCAATATTAGAAGGTGAACACGAAGAGGTTGATGAAATGCATGAAAAGGAATTCAAAACATTAATCATGGAATTACTTAGAAGTAACAAGAAGCAAATTCATAAGTTAGAGAAATCTATACATAACTTGGAGGAAAATTTGTTCCATTAAATGACATTTTGAGGAGAAATCAAACTGAAATAATAGAAATGAAAAGTACAATGTCAAATAGAAAATACATTGGAAAGCCTTAACAGCAGACGTGGTGGACATGGTGAAGTAGAAGAAAGGATATTTGAGCTCAAATAAAAATTTTCTGAACTTCAGTCAGGCCATACACACACACACAAAAAAAGAAAGAAAAATAAAAAAAATAGAAAAATTAAAACCAATGTTCAAGATTTATGGCATACTATCAAATGACACAACATATGAGTCTTTGTCATTCCCAAAGGTGTGGAAAGAGAGCATGGATTAGAAAGCCTACTCACTGAAATGATTACAGAAAGCTTCTCTAATTTGGAGAAAGCGTGAGACGTCCAAGTACACAAGGAACACAGAAATCCTAATAGACATGACCAGAAAAGATCTGCCAGCCGTAGTGGCCACTTGGGGGGTGAACCAATGGAAA